GGGGTGGACTTCAACTCCCAGAATTCCCCAGCCGGCATGCTTTAACAAGAGGTGGACTTCAACTCCCAGAATTCCACAGCCGGCATGCTTTAACATGGGGTGGACTTCAACTCCCAGAATTCCACAGCCGGCATGCCTTAACATGGGGTGGACTTCAACTCCCAGAATTCCCCAGCCAGCATACTTTAACATGGGGTGGACTTCAACTCCCAGAATTCCCCAGCCGGCATGCTTTAACATGGGGTGAACTTCAACTCCCAGAATTCCCCAGCCAGCATGCAACTTTCTTTGTCCCTGCAGTTGTTAAGCAAGTCACACAGTCATTAAGTGAATCTGGCTTTCCCAATTGACTTTGCGGTTCTGAAGGTCACAAAAGGGGATCGTGTGACCCCGTAAGGCTGCGACCAATGTCATTACAGGTAGTCCTTGACTTACGACCACAACTGAGCCCAAAATTAATGTTGCTAAGGGAGAAATTTTTGTTCAGGTTTTGGCCCATTTTTTTAGTGACTTTTTTGTCGCGGTTATTTCCTGAATCCCTGTAGTTGTTAAGTGAGTGACTCGGTTGTTAAGTGAATCCAGCTTTCAGCTTTGCTTGTCTGAGGGTTGCAAAAGCGGATCACGTGACCCCGAGACACTGTGTCCGTCATAAATACGAGTCAGTTGTCAAGCATCCGAATGTAAACCACGGGACCATGGGAAAGGCTGCCACGGTCATAAGTGTGAAAAAAGGGTCATAGAATAGGATAGAATAACAGAGTTGGAAGGGACCTTAAAGCTCTTCTAGTCCAACCCCCTGCTTTGGCAGGAAACCCTTACACCACTTCAGACAAAATGGTCCTAACTCCCTTTTTTCCAATGCTGTCCTCACTTCGAACGGCCACTAAACTGAACTGTCATTAAGTCGAGGAGTATTTGTACATGCCGGTTGCCAATTTTGATCCCGCGACCGCAGGTAAGCCACGATGGTTGCAAATGTTGAGGACTGGCCCGAAAGTCGCTTTTTGCCACTTGGAATGCTCGCCAAAACCAATGGCTGTAAGTCGAGGACTACCTCTAGGCTCGGATTCCCAATCCAGAGGGGGCTTTTCCAGAGGGCACCAAGTTGGGGACGGAGGCCGGGGTGGGCTTCAAACATTTTAGCAACCGGTTCTGTGCCCGGTTGCTGGGTGGGCCTGGCCATGGTGGGCGTGGCCTAGTCAGCCTCCTGCATCATGGGGGGGCGTCGTCACCTTCCCCGGGCGCCTGAGGCTTCCCTAGAGCCTCTAGGAGGGGAAAAATGGCCTCCCCAGGCTCCGGAGGCCCTCTGGAGGCCGGAAACAGGCCCATTCGGGCCTTCTGGAACATCCAGGAGACTTGTTTCTCACACTCCCCGGGTCCTGAGGCTTTCCTTGAGCTTCCAGGCTGGTGAAAATGGCCTCCCCGGGCTCCTGAGGCTTTCCTTGAGCTTCCAGGAGGGCGAAAATGGCCTCCCCA